AGCCGCGCGGTGTGACAGCCTGGCAGCGGCGGCATGCCGCGGGGAAAGGTCCCAGATGTCTCGCAGTCGAGATCTGAACTTGGCCCTCCAGAGAGATCCCACATTTGTGTATTGAACTCTAGGACGATCTGCAGCGTTCTCCTTCCAGCAGCTCAGGTTCAGATTGTACCAAAGCACCAGTAGTTTTTATGGCAGTCGGATCACAGAATGAAGATTTTCCTCTCTCCGCCCCCCCTTCGTTTAAGGCAAAGTCCTGGGATGTGTCAGAGACTGCCTCTGCCCCCAGACGTGGGGGGACTAAATCAACGAGATACACAGTAAGCAAGCCAAAGGGAATAATTGTCAGCAGCAGCAGCCAGTGCTGAGACACAACGATCTCACAATCTGCCCCAAATTTGCCGAGTCAGTAGGAGAGCACAGGACCGAATACGAATCTTTCGAATTCTAGCCCGGTGTTACAAGAAGTCGCACCCCTCTCTTCGCTGTCCTAGCTGCAAAGCAGGGAAGAGGCAGGTCACGTTTTCCTTAGTCGCTTAGTAAATTCACAGATTCTGGGCTACAACCTGAAGGGCAATGTATTTGTGCTACAGCACCAATCCGTTCCTCTCTACAACTTCAACCACACGCACAGCTTCGGCTTACCACTCACCCTGCCAACACGTGCCCTCTTACAGGACCCCATACTCCAAATTTTTCCCTGTACACCCCCGTGCCATTCCTCCACCCGTTCTCCGCACTCACACACAAAGAACCAGGGCCATGGCTGGAGGCACCAGGATGGGAGCATCCACGGTCCATCTACCCCAACTCTGCAGCAGCAAAACCACGCATGTTTTGCAAAGGAGTTGGCAGCGTAGCTCCTGGATGTCTCGCCACCCTCAGAGACAGGCTGTGCGTTCAGAGTGCATCGCTGCTCACTGACCAGAAAGCCAAAAGACAGCTGTTTGCCCAGCCCACGCACCCGCCAAAGGCAACACTCCACCTTAGACAGAGGATAGGGAGGGATGGTTGTGGGGGGCTTTTTGGTTTTGGCTACCCCCCCGCCACAATCCGTGCTCTTCCTTCCTCTCTCCTGCCATCTACAAAGCATTTCAGTTCAAAGGAAACCAAATCAGGGCAGTTTTTTAATATTAAAGCTGAAAATGAAAGACATTATCAGTAGAACTGTGATGTTACGAAGCCAGGCCAGGCAATCGTACGCGTCAGGCGTGCCAGAGGAAGCCCCAAGCGCACCGATCACTCACTGCCACCAGCGCAGCGCAGCCCTGACCAGACAACCCCCCCAGGGCTCCCACGCAGGTCCCCAGATCCTGCCTTACATTCCAGGCTCCGGCCAGCCTGACAAGGCAGCACAGAAAGGGATCCCAGAGAGGTTTCTGGAAACAAAGACAAGTATTTTTCCCCAAAGATCTAGAAATCAAAGTGGGTTTCCCCTCCCCCTTTCATGTGAAGAAAAAGTCCAGCACTCACCTGCTGCAATTCTACAGTGAAACCTGACTAGAGACGGTCCAGGAAAGTAGGTCAGCTGGAGGAGGACAGCACTTCTGCCTCCATGCAGAAGCATCACTCAACAGCTTTGCAACCATAAAGCGGAAGGATGGGGATACGGCACCATAAAACAGGCTTGGGCACAAGCCAGGGCAACGCGGGGTTTATCTAATGACAGCCCTCTTTGGACCCGAGACACGCGGATCAGAGGCCAGGGGTGGAAATGTCACCTGGAAGTAACAGCGCTTTGTACTCCAGCGCTGCCTCTAATCCTCAGGCTCCCAGCACCCAGCCGAGCTGCGCGACCCAACAGTCATGTCCAGCAACACAGCTAAGAATCCCAAGCCTCAGTATCAGCTTTGAAGAGAGGACTTGGGAGCCTGCATCAGTTGGGAAGGTTGGAAAATCTTTCTCTATGGTTCCCCAAAGATGGAGGGACTTTATCTCCACTCTTCACAAGCGAATCTGCAGCAGAGAAGATGGGGACAATCTTTTTAGTAGAGACAGCAGTAACAGGACGAGGGGTAATGGTTTTAAACTAAAACAGGGTAGGTTTAGGCTAGATATAAGGAAGAAATTCTTTACAATGAGGGTGGTGAAACACTGGAATGGGTTGCCCAGAGAGGTAGTGGAGGCCCCATCCCTGGAAATATTCAAGACCAGGTTGGACAGGGCTCTGAGCAACCTGATCTAGTTAGGGCTGTCCCTGCTCGCTGCGGGGGGGTTGGACTAGATGACCTCTAGGGGTCCCTTCCGACCCAAACTTTCTATGATTCTACGATTCTAAGATGCACCAAGGACACACGCTGCACCAATGGCAGGGTGAGAACTGAGCCCACATCCCAGCGCCCGAGCACAGGGTTTCACGGGGAGAAGGGAAACGAACAGCTCTGAGGTCGTCACAAATTTTTGCCCTCCCAGTGTTGCTAAATGGGTGGACTACAGAGAGAGCTCCAACTACGGCCGAGGACTGCACCAGGTTTTTCCGCACAGTGTTATGCTATAGCACAACGGGGAGGGACCAAGACCTATCTCACGCTCCCGATCATCAGTTTTGCTCTGAAAGCTTCTTGGACCCAGAAGTCCTGAGTAAACAGAGAACTGCGCCAGTTTACATGGGAAATCACCCAGGCTCAGATAGCCAAGATCTAACGAGAAGAGAGTCCGTTTTTCACCTCCTTTCACATTATTTTACGAGGAGGAAATCATCCTCCCTTGCTCTTAACTCCCCCATCAAACTTCGACCCTGGAGATGACAATTCTCACTGACCAGTCTGCAACGTCTTGGCAGCATCCCCGTTTACTCAGCCCTCCCCTT